TGTGTAGCCTATAGAACTAGACTGAAAGACCATTTAAAGGCTTTTGCAGGTGGTTTGAGTTAATTAGCTGATTAGAGTGTGGCACCAGGGGCCATCAATTTTGAACCTTTTCACAATATTCTAATTTTCTGATATGATGAATTTGAGATTTTCATTTGTTGTCATTTGTAATCATCAAAATTAAACAAAATAAACATCTGAAATATATGAGTTTGTATGTAATGTATGAATATAATATACAAGTTTCACTTTTTAAATGGAATTACTGAAATCAATCTACTTTTTCATGATATTCTAATTTTATGACCAGCACCTGTATGTGTATGATTGACTGAATGTATTCTGTACTGTACTTACCTATTCCACACCACAAGGGGGTGCTATTGTTCTTTGTTTGTAGAGACGTTAGATGTTATGATGAAGAAGATGCGGTAGAAGCGCAGTCCGCCTGTTACTAATGGCTCTGTTCGAAAACCTAGGACGCATCCTTAGAAGGCCAGATTCGAAGGCCGATTACGTCATAGCGCGGCGCCGAGGTCTGGTCGGATTCCAAGAGTCCTCGTTATGCGGCCTTAAAATGCGTCCTTCTTTTTGCCCGATTTGAGGGACGGGTCTGATGTATCCTCGGTATTCTTGGATATCCCAGGATTCATTGTGAGACCAAGCAAGTTGTGATCAGAGGAAAGATTACTTGGCGCCGAACAGTGGTAAAAAATTGGAAGTTCAGTTTAATATAATACAAGTCATTTAATAGTTCTGTCTGAGATTAATGAAAATAGTTCTTTTAATGGTTATTGAGTCAAATATGTGGCGGTAATGTTTGATTTATCTAAAGGTTTTAATCTGTTCCTGTGTAAATGGGTTTGGCTGTAATTTAAGGACAGATTCTAATATATCTGCAGGATGGGGACTATAAATCTGATAGGATTTTTATCTTTTTATTGCTGTTTTGCACAATATGCTTAACTATGTATTTTTTGTTGTTGAATATTAGAGATTTTGCAGCTACACTATATTGCCAAAAGTATTTGCTCACCCATCCAAATTATTGGAATCAGGTGTTCCAATCACTTCCATGGCCACAGGTGTATAAATTCAAGCACCTAGGCATGCAGACTGTTTTTACAAACATTTGTGAAAGAAAGGGTCGCTCTCAGGAGCTCAGTGAATTCCAGCGTGGAACTGTGATAGGATGCCACCTGTGCAACAAATCCAGTCGTGAAATTTCCTCGCTCCTAAATATTCCACAGTCAACTGTCAGCTGTATTATAAGAAAATGGAAGTGTTTGGGAACGACAGCAACTCAGCCACGAAGTGGTAGGCCACGTAAACTGACGGAGCGGGGTCAGCGGATGCTGACGCGCATAGTGCGAAGAGGTCGCCAACTTTCTGCAGAGTCAATCACTACAGACCTCCAAACTTCATGTGGCCTTCAGATTAGCTCAAGAACAGTGCGCAGAGAGCTTCATGGAATGGGTTTCCATGGTCGAGCAGCTGCATCCAAGCCATACATCACCAAGTGCAATGCAAAGCGTCGGATGCGGTGGTGTAAAGCACGCCGCCACTGGACTCTAGAGCAGTGGAGACGCGTTCTCTGGAGTGACGAATCGCGCTTCTCCATCTGGCAATCTGATGGACGGGTCTGGGTTTGGCGGTTGCCAGGAGAACGGTACTTGTCTGACTGCATTGTGCCAAGTGTAAAGTTTGGTGGAGGGGGGATTATGGTGTGAGGTTGTTTTTCAGGAGCTGGGCTTGGCCCCTTAGTTCCAGTGAAAGGAACTCTGAATGCTTCAGCATACCAAGACATTTTGGACAATTCCATGCTCCCAACTTTGTGGGAACAGTTTGGAGCTGGCCCCTTCCTCTTCCAACATGACTGTGCACCAGTGCACAAAGCAAGGTCCATAAAGACATGGATGACAGAGTCTGGTGTGGATGAACTTGACTGGCCTGCACAGAGTCCTGACCTCAACCCGATAGAACACCTTTGGGATGAATTAGAGCGGAGACTGAGAGCCAGGCCTTCTCGTCCAACATCAGTGTGCGACCTCACAAATGCGCTTCTGGAAGAATGGTCAAAAATTCCCATAAACACACTCCTAAACCTTGTGGACAGCCTTCCCAGAAGAGTTGAAGCTGTTCTAGCTGCAAAGGGTGGACCGACGTCATATTGAACCCTATGGATTAGGAACGGGATGTCACTTAAGCTCATATGTGAGTCAAGGCAGGTGAGCAAATACTTTTGGCAATATAGTGTATATTTTTTATAAATACATTGTTTAGATTTACTTATATATTTCTACCCCTTTTTATAGAATAGAATAGAAAGTCCCTTTATTGTCCCACAATGGGCAAATTTACAGCAGCAGAAAGATTATTGAAAATAGTCACACAAATGTGGACCTTAGAAAAATGTATAAGAATAACATAACAGGGAAGAGTTAAAATATAAACAATAAAATAGTGTAAAGTGTTTTAACAATATAAAACTGGAGTATTAATAACCAATATGCAGCTATGGACATTTTTACAGTAATGGATATTTGAAAATAGCAGCAACATCAGAGATGTGCAGAATGACAGCAGCAGGTTATTTAACTGACTAAGGTTTCTATCATTACATTTGCTTTTATTTGTTCCTGCTCTCGGTGGTTGGAACATTTATTCCACTCTGGATTCTTGTTAATGTAGTCTTTGTTCACTTTACAATAAAAAAGAAATAAATAAACAGTTTTGAAAACTTCTGTATTCATTCTTTTCCTGCTTTGTGTGCCAATGTTCACGGTTGCTAAGCAACAGAGCATACGGCGGTAAAACCCGCTGAAGGGTAGACCTGGTCGAAATCACAGCCAAAACTCTTCCTGTCTCCTTATTTTCAAGGACTTCGAAGGATCCAGTCTAAGTAGACCTTAGAGGACACGTCCTAGGTTTTCGAACAGAGCCAAAGATAAAAATAAAATAAATATGCCCTCGAGGCTGAAGAGAGAAGTTGTCTGTCTACCTTTCCTAGTGTTGCAATATTGGGCTTCTGCTAACAGTAATTCAGGAAATATATGAATACAGTTTCTACTAGAAATGTGATTTTGACCTATTTCAGTGATCTATAAATGGAACAATAGAGGGAACGCTTTTAATAAATGTCAAAACTGCCTACCATACCAGCCTACATATAAACGTACGCATTATTTTTTATATAGTTTTCTTTATTCTTATTCACTCATTTGTCTCCATTTGTGCTGCTTATTAATTTACCAACTATATCTATATTTGCATGTTACTCGTGTTTAATCATGTAACCTGATTTACACGTAAGTGTAATCCAATGCTTATACTTTCAAAGTTGTTTTAAATAGGAGTTGTAGTGAAAACCAGCAGACTAAATGTGGGTTTGTATGTTTATGCCAATGTAAGTTGCAAAAATTGAAATAAAAATTAAGTAAAAAAAAAAAAAAAAAAAACCCTAATACGGTGATTTAAATGAGGGCAGATTAGAGCAGAACCATCCAGGTTCTGAATAAAAAACAGAGAGATGCGTCACTGTGCCTCTACCTACATGCTGAACGCAGCTCAACATCTGTCTGAACCCCCTACCATCAAGGGTGTGCAAAATAATCGTCATGACGATGCATCGCAATTCTAATTTTTGTGATCTACTGCATCGATACTTGAAGGCAAGAATCGATTATTAAAAAAAAATAAATAAATGAACAAATAAAATACATTAATGGTTGGCGCACATCAGTCAAACCAAGTGGAATACAACTTCCAGTCCAGCAGATGTCGCTGCGGATGTGTTGACGCCCGCTGCCTTGTGTCACTAGCATGTCCGGCCCTGGGATACTGCGACGAGTCATATGAAATAAAACATGGTGGAGACTATGAAAATTCGCCCCACGGTTCCATCACATTTCAAGTCAGATGCTTGGATGCATTTTGGTTTTAAAAACAAAGAAGGTAAAAATGAATTGATATGATGCATGTAATTTGAAAAGGGGGAAATATACATTTGAATATTTTCATTTCATTGGTTTAAAGGACCACTGAGGCCATGTAAACGGCACTGATTATCCTTATTTTTTTATTTTAAGTTTTATGAATCCTAAGATCTTTTTGTCAGTGTCCACACCAGTAATAGTAATATTTCTGTCCAGTATTTGTTTTCATGGCAACACCTCCAAAAGTCGTTTCAATAAATACAGCTATGTATGAATTCAGTTGCTTTCAGTTATGTATCAATTGAAGACACGATCCAGATCACACCCAGCCAGTCAGCCACTGGTAAGGGCTGTATATTTTTCTTACAGTGTTCAGTGAAAATATCGCAATGCATCGCAATATTTCAAGCATCGTGATGCATCGTGATAGAATCGCATCGTGGCATGTGAATCATGATTCGAATCGAATCATGACATCTTTGCCAATACCCACCCCTACCTACCATGTGTGCTAAAGTTATGCTATGTACATGTTTTAGTGATCACTGAGATTTTATTTTATTTTGACTTCGTTAACATACACAGTTTAATTTGAACATTGTGTTGTTGATAATGATTGTTATGCTGATAATGATGTCTAAGTGGGAGAACTTGCAAATTAGCTGGGTGTTCAAATACTTATTTTCCTCACTAATAAATCTATCAGAGCCTGATAACATTTAATTAAAAATAAGAACAAAGTAAGAAAAGGGCACAAACTTGTTAAAGCAAACTCAGTCAAGATGAGAAACCAAAATAAGCTTAATACACGTAGAATACTTGGTAAACAATCTCTGGATGGGTGTGGTAAAATAATTTACCTAAAATAGATCTAGTTTATATTTATTTGGTTGCTGTCTACAACCATACCTCTAGAGGGCAGTGAATCACAGACTGCTACTTGAACGCCAACAGGTCACAGAAAATCAAAACTTTTGTAAGAAAAACAGAAATATATTTTTTTCCTTTCCCTTTGCTGGGGCAGACAGGTTTTAAAAGTTTAGTTTCTTTGACAGAATGAAGAATCTAAACAATCACAGAGGTCAGCAGGACATCTCCATTAATCTCCAGCTCTTTGATGCTCTCCAGATTATCAAAGCGGTAGTAGTAGGTGTGGGCCTTCTTCCCATCCACCAAAGTCTGATAGTTGTCCTCCTTACAGATGACGGTCAGCTGGAAGAAACAATGGTTAGAGAGGTCATTGCAACTGTTTACTGCCTAAATTGTGTCTTTGGACTTTCTAACAGAATCAGCAAAACACACCATGAACTTGAGATGGACTGATTATACCTTAGTAAGAAGTTACCTTTAAACCAAAGGTAAAACTGCAAAGACCTAAAAAAAAAACGGAATATAGCAATGTAAACACAGTTTAACAACCCCTAACAACAGCCAACCGGAAGGGGAACCAGTCATAGCTGGTTTATGGTAGAAAGGCAGGGTCTACAATTCTGCCTCTGGAGGAGGCAATCGAGCCCTCCAAACTAGAAACCTGGAGGTTTCTTCTTTTCATGGCCTGCACTGGACCTTTAAAGGTGCATGCACACCAAACACAATATCCATGGCAAGGATGGTGAATTTACACAGTATTCCTATGCAAACCACATGGGAAGAGCGGTGAAGTGGCTAGCTTTGAATTCCACATGGTGAGAGCGGTCAATACTTCCCTTTTTCCACGTGCAACTTGATAGAGCTGATTTCTAGTCAAACAACAGCCCTTTATGGAGAGAGCAGATTGGTGATGAATGAAAGTGAAAAAAATGAACTTTTATGTGCAATTGAGTCCCTGCAATCAATCAGGCACTGCTTGTGGTTTTGACTAGGCTAAATAAGTGTACCTGAGACAAGGTTAGAATGGAATATATTGAAAATAATACGACAAAAGATGAATAAGTAATAAACGTAACCATCTTGCAAACCCTCTTGCAAAGCAAGCTCAAAGGCATCTAAGCAAGGCTAGTGGCTAACCCAACTCACCTAGTCATATCATACATCCTGCTAGTCAATGTACGATCACCTCCCCATGTGGTGGGGGGAGATGGAGGCCTGAACAGGCATTTCTTGGGATGGTGTAGCTCTAGGATTGGCTCACCTACTGCTTCCTCTGGGTGGGATTGCTCTACTGGAGGTGGGTCAGGCTCTCTGGCTTTGCTTCCGATGCTAATGACCACCTGTGATATTGCATGGAATGCATTTAGACACTTAGGGGTTAGGGTGAGAGAGGTGGGGTGGCACAGCTACCCTCCCCCCAGTTTTAAATACAGAGTAGTCCAACAGGCAACAACACTACACCTGCCACATCTGGCTAGCATGGCTGTTTTTCAGGTAGGCTGCAATCATCATGCCCGGATGCATCTCGGATGTGTGGTGTGAGCCTGCGTGTCCTGGTCCTGCACATGTCCTACACCCACAGTCTGCTGGGGGGTTGCTGGAGGGTGTCTGATGCCTGTGCTTCGGTGGCCGGTGTGCCACACTCAGCCTAGAAGGGTGGACTACCTGGGTCGTGACTGCCTGGCATGAGGGGACCATATGGATGTGGGGGCCTTTAACGGCTATGACTGGCTGGGGGCAGGGTGGACTCATTGGCGGGTTGGCTACCTGCTCTGGTGTCTGCCGGGGGACAGGTGTGCTGCTCGTTGGGGGGATGCTGTGGAGTGGCCGTTGCCGTTGGGGGGTTGTCCCTCCTGGGGGTAGGTCTGGGCTGGGGATAGGCCTGGGGTAACCCTGCTGCTCTCCTACCTATGCCAGCGCCCATTTCCAGCTCCCCCTTTTTTTTGCCTGCTCCCTTCCAGAATGGGGAGTCTGGATCTCTCCCTGGGTCTGTTGTTCTGTTCCCCCCAGAAAAGTTTACCCTCAGACACGGGAGAATAGAGTATGTATGAGGACTATAAGAAGAGTTATAGTCTCTCCCTCTGTGGGCATCTCCATGGTGTGATTATAAATCTTTATGGGTGTAAGGGTGGGATTTGTAAATGTGACTGGATGACTATGAATGTTGTTTGTGTGTACTTGTCAGGTTGGGTGTTTGCCGCCCCACTTGCTCAACCGTGTAAGTCTAGTTATGAGCAGGGCCTGGCTCCTCCCCTTTAGTCCCCCCTGGCTCTTTTGGGTCCCCGCTTGGGTCTGGTGCGCCTTTGGACCCAGATCTCCTATTCGGATTCACCTTGGGCTTGATCGGCTGCTGGTAGAGCCCATGGACTCCCTGCTGTAGCCCTGTGGTACCCTGATAGTATGGGCTCTGTGGTTGGGTCCCTCAGGGACTGGGCCCCTTTGGGGTTTGGTACTTCGGGGGTCGGGCCCTGGGTGCTCTCATCTGCCCTTCTCTGGTGGGTGTGGCCATCTCTATGTCTGCCCTCCTTGATCCCCTAAGATCTGGGTTGTCTCTGTATTATGGGGCTCGCATCATCTCTTTTTCTGTCCTGAGTCTGGGGCCGCCCATACCTGCTATTAAGCATACTTTCCCTCTGAAGAAGCTTTGTGAATCCTTTATACATGAGCATGCCCATGCATTTGGTTCCAGGTATTCACGGATACACACTAATACTAAACGCTAAGCTGCAGCTACAGATATATACCATCCTTATCAATATTGTCTAATCTACATAGGTTGTGACTCTAACACATATGGACATCTAAAGGATAGCTGCTGGTCTTGAAGCTTTTTTTAAAAGTTTACTTGTGTTTTCTGTTGTCTTCTTTTTGCTGTTATGATCTCTAGTTTCTGTTCCTCTCATCCCATAAAGCTATGGAAGCAGACTTCTCGGAATATATCTTCTGTGTTGTCTATTTTTGCTGTTTTATTTTCGCTTTTATCATGCAATCTTTCCTATGCATCTCTTTCTCCCCTTAGTTATTACCCCCCTCTCTTTCTCACCCCTCTTTTTGTGTCCGTTGTATATGATTTTACTCCCCAAATAATGTTTAATAAAGTTTAGTATACAAGTATCAATGAGGTAGCCATATAATCTGAACTGGGTTTAGACTGCTTTGATCCAGTTGAACTTTCAGAGTTAGCAAAATTATTGTCTTCATCTAAGCCTTTAACTTGTATGTTAGATCCAGTTCCAACCTAGTTATTTAAGGAGGTATTCCCTTTGATCTCCTCCTCCATTTTAGATGTGATTAATCTATCTATGTTACAGGGATATGTACCTAAAGCTTTAAGGTTGCTGTAATTAAACCTCTGCTTAAGAAACCGTCTCTTGACCCAGATGACTTGGTCAATTATAGACCTATATCCAATCTTCCTTTCTTATCCAAAATTCTTGAGAAAGTAGTTGCCAAACAAGTTTGCGATCACTTACACCATAATGAACTTTATAAAGAGTTTCAGTCTGGCTTTAGAGCTCATCATAGCACTGAAACAGCTCTGGTGAAAGTCACTAACGATATTCTCATGGCCTCAGATAATGGACTTGTATCTGTGCTCGTCCTGTTGGATCTCAGTGCTGCATTTGATACAGTTGACCATAATATTCTTTTAGAGAGACTTGAATATTTTGTTGGAATTAAAGGAACAGCACTAGACGGGTTTAAATCTTATCTATCTGATCGAATTCAGTTTGTTCTTGTTAATGACAAAGCATGGGATTAATTTCCACCGTTATGCTGATGATACTCAGCTATATCTGTCTATAAATCATGAAGCTAGACCATTACATAGATTGAAAACCTGGATGTCTCTTAACTTTCTCCTTCTGAATGCAGACAAAACAGAAGTTATAGTCTTTGGACCAGAGTCTTTGAAAAATAAGCTGATTAGTCAGTCACTTCATTTGGATGGGATTAAATTGATTTCAGATAATAAAGTAAAAATTCTTGGTGTTATTTTTGATCAGGACCTGTCATTTAAATCCCATATCAAAGAGGTTTCTAGAATTTCCTTCTTTCATCTGAGGAATATTGCAAAAAATGTTAAATCTCCTGTCCAGGGGTGATGCTGAGAAACTAGTCCATGCATTTGTTACTTCAAGGCTGGACTATTGTAATTCTTTACTATCAGGAAGTCCACAAACTGTAGTTAAAAGCCTTCAGCTGATCCAAAATGCTGCAGCCAGAGTTCTGATGAAAATGAAAAAGAGAGATCATATCTCTCCTATCCTGGCTTCTCTTCATTGGCTTCCTGTTAAATCAAGAATAGAATTTAAAATCCTCCTTCTCACATATAAAGCCTTAAATGGCCAAACTCCATCTTATATCAGAGATCTGATTGTTCCTTATGTTCCTAACAGAGCACTTCGCTCTCAATCTGCAGGTTTACTAGTGGTTCCTAGAATTTTTAAAAGCAGAATGGGAGGCAGATCTTTTAGTTATCAGGCTCCTCTCCTGTGGAACCAACTACCAGTTTTAGTCCGTGAGGCAGACACCCTGTCTACTTTTAAGACTAGGCTTAAAACTTTCCTTTTTGAAAAAGCTTATAGTTACTGTGGCTCAGGTTATCCTGAGCTATCTCTATAGTTATGCTGCTATAGGCTTAGACTTTTGGAGGACATAGGGACCCCCATTTCATCATTCTGCTTCATTCTATCTCTATTCTCCCACTCTGCAGAATCTGTTAGTTCAATCTCTAACGTTATGTTCTCTTTGCTTTTTCTCAGAGTAGCCTTGTCTCGTCTGTTCCTGTTTGGCTGTGACTCCATCCTGGAGAGAAATATCAGCTGTGCTGCTGCCATCAACACCTTTGTTTATAGATGCTGGAGATCGGCCTGTTTTCCAGTGTAGTCCTGTTTCTCTGACTGTGACTGGCTGGATGTGCTCTCTTCATCCTCTGGCATGGAAGCTGACTCGGAGCTCGTCTGCCTGGCTGTGTGTTTCCTGGACGGGGCCGCCTTTTACAGCTGCTTTTGTATCTCTGCTTCTGTCTCCTTGAACCCCAGTCGGCCTCGGCAGATGGCCGCTCACACTGAGCCTGGTTCTGCTGGAGGTTTCTTCCTGTTAAAAGGGAGTTTTTCCTCTCCACTGTCGCTACAAGCATGCTCAGTGTGAGGGATTGCGTTTGAGTCAATGAGTCGATGCAACCAACTGGTTTCCCTTAGATAGAAAACTTTGTATCAATTTGACTGGATGATCTGGTTGAACTGTAAAGTGCCTTGAGATGACATGTGTTGTGAACTGGCGCTATATAAATAAACTGAATTGAAATGAATTTAGGTTAGCAGAAATAATTTGAGGTTACTGGGGTTTGTCAGTGGGGACATGTTTATTTGGCTAACCTTAATGCCTGAGCAACTCAGAAAAATTGAGAAAAAATATATATAAATACAATATATGAAAACATTGATGTCTCCATTTTCTCATTTTCAAATACTTTTTGTGGTTTACTTTTTGGAAAATCTTTTAGGTGAGCCCATCGGGGTGTGATCCTGAAGCACTTTGGCTGTGTTGTTGGTTCTGAAGTGAGCTAAGTTTGTATACCCTTCAAAGACAAAGAAATTGCTCAGAGTGGAATTTTGCGAATGTGTACTGTAGCTTAATTGAAGAAGAAAGATAAATGCAGTCATTGTAAGCAAAAGCTCTGAGTCCGAGGAGACCTGATCAAACTTCTAGAACAAGTGGTTACTATTACTGATTTCAAGCCCAACGGTTTAGACGGGCAGAAAGGGACGTTGTTTTTTTAACGTTTTTTTAACTGTAAACACAAGAGATGCCTACCTGAAAAAGAGAGACGCACGATGCCTACTAAGATTGGGGATTCATGAGATGTAAGGGATTTTAATATTAATGTAGTCTTACCATGAAGGACAGGCCTCGCTTGAAGGGCATTGGTCCACCTCGTTCCTCAGAGCCCCACTGCCAAAAAAACCACTTATCATACTGTTTGGTGTTTCGGACCACGGTGCCCTCATTGAAACGTGGATTATAATGCAGAGCGATTCCAGATATGTGGCAGAGGTTCACGTGGAACCTGTGAGGAAACAGAACATGAGACAGAAAAAGATTTAAACTAACATGATTTACCTTTAAGTTAAACTCCAACAAGAATAAATCATTAAAGTTGAAGTGAGACATTAGGAGGCATTATGTCAATTTACAGAACAAAGGGTTTGATCTAAAGACGCAGAAATGGGCAATTAGTTTATTTCTTGTGAACCAAATAATAAATTAACTGGTCGATGTCTACACTAGACAAGAAGTGCATGTAGTAAGAAACTGTAGAAGGTTTATGGTTAAACAACCAGAGCTCAAGTCCAGGTGTGCTGCAACTGCCTTGAAAAAACTGAATGAAATAAACAGTCATTTATAAGCAGCCTTATCTGAACGGCTGATTATATGTTACTGGTCCATGTACTTAGTGCCAGTCTGCGAAAGTTGAACGAGAGGTGAGTTGCATTCTTCAGCACACAGTAGAAAAGTGTTAGCAACATAATAAAACATAAAAACTATTCTTATTAACTTAGGCAAATAATTCAATTCAGTTTATTTCTATAGCGCCAATTCACATCATAAAGTCATCTCAAGGCACTTTACAGTTAACCCAGATCATCCAGTCAAATTGATTCAAAGTTTTATATCTAAGGAAAACCAGTTGATTGCATCGACTCGTTGACACGAATGCAATCCCTCACACTAAGCATGCTTGTAGCGACAGTGCAGAGGAAAAACTCCCTTTTAACAGGAAGAAACCTCCAGCAGAACCAGGCTTAGTGTGAGCGGCCATCTGCTGAGACATTTGCCTCTTGGCAGGAAGTTGTCCTGCTAACTGGATCTCTCGGACCTTCACACCCTGGAAGTATCAACTGAGCTTCAAACTGAGCTGGGGTTCAAACGGAAGGTTTGGATCCACTTTCCCCAAGAGATTTTTTAAACTTTCCACCGAGAAAGGGATTATTCTCCACTACGACCCGTTAAAGTACCGCAGGAAATCTGAGTGGCAGTCAGTTTCTCCGTTCTCCAACTATAAACCGCATTCTGGGTAAAACCTGTTCCGCCCTCCACCGAATCAGACGAACACTGGAACCATGGCAACCAAAACCTCATCTCCAAGTTCCACGAGTCAGATTCCCCACTGAGCCTGAACTAACTGCTTTGTCTTCCACTCACTTTACAGTTCCGGTTAAGCAGTGTTCAGAGCAACACTTCTTCTCCAGTTTTACTTCCTCAGTAGAACCCGTTAAACCTTTTCCCTGGACTCTCTGTTAGGTTTTCTGCATTTTTGGGTCAGAACTTTGTTACATCATGACACTATCACGCTGGGAGAATTACATTGGGCCATATGCAGAGCTCGCTCCCCCGCAAATGCTTCGTCTGCAAGTTGCATAATAATCAGAGAGAAATATTCAAAAGCGTCACCGAGGATAGGTGGATTATTGTCACATTTATTAGGTTCGAAAATAATACTTTTCTGAGGAATTTCCAAAAGAATAAGAATTAGAATAAGTATAAAATGAGCAATGACTACACTATAGATCATTGTAGTGCCTCCAAACTTGTGGGATACATAGATAACCTCATCTGGATCATACTACAAATCTTACTTTGGGAAGATAGGCCAAACTGTATTTTTGGAGATTTTTTATTTGTTATTATAAGCATATAATAGACAATAATTACACTGTAGATCATTGTAGTGCCTCCAAACTTAGATAACCTCATCTAGTTCACACTACAACTCTTACTTTGGGAAAATTTGCTAAACTCTATTTTTTTTTTAGATATTTCATTGTTATTATAAGCATATAAAAGCCAATAATTACTTATGACTTAGACAGATTTATTTTGTCATTTTGTATAAACAAGTGTAAACAAAAAGACATTTCATTTAGAACAGCTCTAGACAATTTCATATTTTAAAGTGCAGCCTTGAAAACAGTAATAAATACATAAAAAATAGTTATATAAACATATGACTGTTTATTTACAGCACTAACATTCTTTTTTTTCTTACTTTGGGAAGATAGGCCAAACTGTATTTTTGTTTTTGTTCATTGTTATTATAAGCATATAATAGCCAATAATTACACTATAGATCATTGTATTGCCACAAAACTTATAGCACACATAGATAACCTCATCTAGTTCAGACCACAACTCTTACTTTGGGAAAATGTGCTAAACTCTATTTTTTAGATTTTTTCATTATTATTATAAGCAGGCCAGGTGTCTAATCTCTGCAACAGGAACCACAGCACTGAGCGTTGTGGGCACTGCACAAAGTATACCTGTCGCAAATGCAGGAAGGACTCATCCTTGGGTTTGTTAAAACTGCTAAATGGGACAATTGTAACTTCATATGTAGTGCTTTTCCTTGGGTGAAATTAATGTTACTCTAATACTGAAATCATACTGTTTGTCATTCTCCAAGCTGAAATGTTGAATGACGTGAAAAGGCGAGAACAGACAAAATACAATTATTCTCTACGTTGTTCTTTCTTTCACATCGTGAACTTTGCAATATACATGAGTCTGTTGGTGAATGGACAATTAATGCCTTGTTGGAAAAGCATGGCTATGACCTGTTCTCAGCTCAGGAACTAGGACCCGTATGCCTAAATAAAAGATTTAGATATGATTTATCAATATATTCCTGCAAAAAGGTCTGATGTTGCAGGGGCAGGTAATGAAAAGTGCTTGGAACAAGGTCTTGTTCTAATGCCAGTTTGTTTCAGCCTTATCCAGTCTCCTGTAGAAGGGCTGGTCCTATCACAGGTTATTTGCATTACAACAAGGACAGTTAGCAAGGTAGAGTGAATAGACAAATTTGTAGAGGGTAGGGGGGCTCGCAGGAAAACTGAAATTCTCCAGGACATCTAGTGTTAAACCAAGTCAGTGACTCACATGTTCATAATCCTCTTCGGTCAGATTATCATGGTCACTAACCTGTGATTTATTTTACAGTTTTCTGTGATAGACGACAAGGGGCTGCTACTCAGATCATCTGTCTTTTAAAGGGTTCATAGAATGCAAAACCAACTTTAAATTGTCATAGATAAACAACAATAGTTCAGTGGGTGAAATGGACGTACAGAGAAGTTCAAACCCCATCAACACCTCCTTTCTCTGCAAATCTCAGAATTCTAAACTTTTACCATAAAACGGACAAATTCAAACGAAGCACCGAACTGACGTGGTTTGGCGGTCGGGTATTGGTTGCACTGTAGTCGACCAAAATCCTGGAAGATTTTGACATTCCCCCCAGACATTTTTTAGGTATGAAAAGTCTCACATGTCTGGGAAAAAGAGGACGCCTGGTCACCCTACCATATCAACAATTTGATGTTTCAGTGAGTTAGCGCTTGGTGCTATGATGCGTCTTTGCTCAGCAGCTTTGCTCGTTGCCAACCAATCAGCGCACAGCTCATCTAAATATTCATCAGCATACCATAAAAAGAAGTAAACCTGTTGTTTCATTCCAGGGCATTTAATCAGGCTTGCATTAGGGCTCATAGAACTGCAAATATGCCATTTTCAACCAATGTTATAAACCCTATTCAGAGACCTTAAAGACCAGCACCAAATACCCTATAGAATCATTCTATGAGCCCTTTAAATAAATGCTTTTGAAATATCCCATTGTCTTTCTTGCCTTGAATACTTGGTCTCTCTGTTCTGAGTCGTGACATGGTCAGTTATGACTGCTTATGCCAATGTGTGCCAGGTTGCTCTTATGAAGATTTACCAATAGTATTAATTTTATTTTATTGAATCTAAAAAACATTATATGTTCTAAGTGTTTTTTATTTATTGATTTTTCTATTTCCAAGGCAAAACTATTTTAGGGGTTCTATATATGTGCCATCTATCTTGATTTATTACTGTACAGGAGTAGCTATAAATAGTTGGCTTACGTTTCGCCAGACAGCCAAGAAGTGTTCTGTTTTTTCTATCACTCTGTTAAGGTGTGTGCTCTGCCAGCTCTATCATTTCGAGATAGGGCTTTTTGTTTTCCGTACGGCGAGAAAGAGGGATTGGTTTAAATGTGGATCAGCGTTATGCAGCGTTAACAGGTGCTATTGTAGTTGTTGTTTCATCTTTTTGTGTGTGGTGCATCCCCCTATTCCTATCCCCCCTCTCTTAATATTTTCTCGCCCTTACTGGGCAAAATAATATTTAATTATGACCAAGGTTTCAGACCAAAGAAGCAGGACTAGATGTCTAACCTGGAATGTTAAGGGTTGAATTGCCCCATTAAAAGTAAAAAAAAACAATTGCATATTTAAAACGCCTCAAAGGTGATGTGATCTGAGACATAAGGACCCTGTTGGCTCAGATGTCCATGGGTGGGACATGTATTTCATTATACTTTTAATTTCAAAGCCAGAAGGGTGGCTATTGTGATAAGTAAAAGAGTGCAGTTTACAATGACACATTTTGTAACTGACATGAATGGGAGATATTTGATTGTTGTTGGTTCTATGTATGATCATCCTATATTACTAGTTAATGTATATGCTCCCAATTTTGATGAACCAAAGTTCATAGATACGCTTTTTAATAGCCTTCCCTCTCCTGATACTCACCTTCAAATATTTGCAGGAGATTTGAATTGTGTCATGGATCCTGTACTGGATCACTCAAATCCCAACACAACAGTTCAATCATCTATGTCTAATTCTATTTCCCAATTTATGTCTCAAAACGGATTTTTAGATCCTTGGAGGTTTTATAACCCTAAAGCAAAAGCATATTTATATTCTGAGGTGCATTGGCCATTTTAATAAATGGATTATCTTTTTGTAGATTGTTCTCTTATCTCTAAAGTCACTTCTGCTGAGTACCACTCTGCAGTGTTGACCTTAAATTACTACATTGGCCTCTTTTTGCTTCACCCTGGAGGTTCAAATCTTCATTACTATCTGATGAAAAATGTTATGCTTTCATACAATCTTTAATTGATGAGTTTATTATTTTTAAAAGTGCAAAACAGTTTCATCCTCATTAATGGGAATCTCTGAAAGTGTATTTGTG